GTCGAGCCAAGGCAGAGGCCGAAGCCGCGACCCACCGGGCAAATCACCTGCATGAGCAGCTTGAGCAAGTTCGAGCGGAGCACCGGGAGAAGCCGCAACCCCAGGACAGGGTCTACCAAGACCTGCTGCGGGCAAGAGCCGAGGCGCAAGAGGCACTGCGACGGGCCCAGCACGAGAGCGCCCAAGCGACAGCTACAGCGGGCACTCTCAAGCAGCAGCTCGCCAGGCAGGAGCTGGTCATGGAAGAGAAGTTCCAGGAGGCCAAAAAGAACCACGCCCTCGAGATTGAAGCTGCCGCCGAATCAGCCAGGGTCCAGGCAATCGCCCAGGCCCAAGTGGTTGCCAATGCCAAGGGAAAAGGGGCCCTCCCGCCGGCAGAGGCGGCCAGGCTGCAAGGGATTGTCCAGACAGCAGCACGGCAGCAGGAGCGGCTCAAGCAGACCAAAAGCGAGCTCGAGACAGCTGAAGCCCGCATACACGAGCTCCAGCAGCACTCCAAGCTTGAGGCGGGCGCTGCGCAGCGTGCAGTACAAGTGGCATACCATGAAGCAGCGGAGCTGAGAAGCGCCAACAAGGAGCGGCAAATCCCGCACGAGGTGCAGGCATTGCAGTTCGCCCTGCTAAGGACTAGAGCAGAGGAGGAGGAGGAGATCGCGAAGGCCAGCCTGAAGGACAAGGAGGCAATGCGGGCAGAGCTCGAAGGCAGTGCTGAGCGAATAAGGTCGAGTCTCACCCGCCAAGTCATGATAGAAGAGGACGACAAGGACGACGGCACGGCACGGCACGGCACCCGCCGCCACGGCAACGACGACGACGACAAGGACGACGACGCCGACGCCGACGCCGACGCTGACGCCGATGGTGACGGTGTCGGTGACGGTGACGGTGACGACGACGACAGGACGGCGACGTTGACGAGGACGAGAACGACGACGTGATCACCACACCACGACAACGACGTTGGGGACGGCGACGACGACGACGAGGACGCCGACGCCGACGCCGACGGTGACGGTGACGGTGACGACGACGAGGACGCCCGCCAGCGGAGGCGTCTTCAGGCTACTCGATGCCTGTCAACACCACACCATACCCATGAGCACGGCGCCATAGCTGTTGGGGGGCAGACCCCCCACCTCCCAGCACATTCGTTACCATGACGGGGAGGGGGCGACCCCGTCACGGACCTTACGGGTTCCGCGAATGAACAGCAATACCATCCTGGGGGCACCTTGGGCCAGGGGCATGTTTCGTGCCCCGCAAAAGACTGAAGGGCCGGCTGGTTACGTCCGTCTTGACTGTGGCTTCCTGTCCCTCGTGCAACTGCTGGAGGAGGGGGAGGGGGAGGAGGAGATGGAGGAGGAGGAGGAGGAGGAAACGAGGAGGAGGAGGAGATGAGGAGGAGGAGGAGGAGGAGGAGGAGGAGGAGGAGGAGGACGAGAGGGAGGAGGAGGAGGAGGAGGAGGAGGAGTGGAGGAGGAGGAAGGGGAGGGGGAGGGGGAGGAGGAGGAGGAGGAGGAGGAGGAGGAGGAGGTGGAGGAAGAGGAGGAGGAGGAGGAGGGGGAGGAGGAGGAGGAGGACGGGTCGCCTAAACCCTTCGGGGAAACCCTCCCGTACCGAGGCTCTGGGGCCTTCCCTCTGGACGCGGTGCTCCTCCCGAGCCGTTCTCCGACGGCCCCCACGGGCCCCGTGGAGGGCGCCCCGAGGGCCCACGGAAATGGGCGCGAGAAACCTCGGGGCCCGTTCTCGTCAGGGCCCGCTTCTCGGCTAGACGTAAGAGTGACCCTGGGTAAGAGTGACCTTTGGTGCGCAACCTTTGGGGGCGCGAGGGAACCAAACCTCAGGGCGCAGGCCGCTCACAACGCATCGCGCTCGGCGATCGGGCGGAGCTCGACGAGCCCGCACCAAAGGCCACTCCGGCGAATGGTCACTCTTACGTGTACTCGACGCTTCTCCCCCCACGGCGACCGCCGGCCCCGCAGCGAGCGTGCAGCAGGGAAGCGTGGGTACTGACGCTGCTCCCGTCGCACTCGGGAGCGCAGGCCAGAGCTGGTTTCGAGCACCCAAGAAAAGGCACCGAGACGGCGTCGACCGAGCATCGCCTTCCAGGGCCCGACATGTGAAATGTCGGTGCTTTCGTGGGGCTCGAGGTTCTTTCTGGTGATCAAGGCTTAAGTAGGCTGGAGCGCCAGAACGCAAGACATGGGTTCGGAGACTCGGGCTGGCCCGACGGGGCAATCAAGAAAAGGACGAGACACCATATAAAATCTGACGCGCGAACTCCCGCGGCAAACATCCCACGGAAACTGAACCGTCAAAATCCAGGAGAGGCCCGTCAAAAAGCTTCGGACAATTCGAGTTCTGGTGAACTCAAGTCTTACGGTTCCCCGAATGCAGCGGTCCGCTTGATTGACCGACTCGATGCTGTAGGACGCGCAAAATTTCGACGGTCCGCGCGGACCTCGAAAATTTGTGTTGGTGCAGTTTTCTTCCTATAAGACGAAGCCGGGATCGGGGCAAAGTTTGACCGGGATAAAAATCATGCTCGGTTTTTCAAATCACTGGGGGCGCCACCGAACGGGCCTGCCACGCCTTGGGCACCATCGGCTTCGCGAGGGAAGGAATGCGCCCCAGCGCGGATGAGGCCACGGCGCGTAGTTGGCCTCGCGCGCGCCCGAGGGAATTCAGCGCCAAGCGCCTTTCACTCCAGAAGACCCGACGTCAACAAAACAAACTTGAGGCCCCAAGGGGGCCCCAAAGAGGCGGACCGCCAAAACAATCACGCAACCAACACAACGAAAAACACGTGTAAATGTCAAAAAACGCAGCACTCAGTGACCTCTACGGCCACGCAACACCGCGAGAATGCCGAAGAAGGCATTGGAAAAGGAGCCCGCGCGCGGCCTGGCGACTTCCCCGCGCCGCCCCAAGGTTCCCGAAGCGCGCCGAGATAACCGTAGAGAAAACCCCGCAAAGTCTTAAGGCCCCCGCACTATGCAATATCCGCCACCGAATAATCTCGCGGACACCTAGCGCGCACGCGCGGGCGTCCACATGGATGCCCAACTCCGGTTTCGGAGACAATCGCGCGCAACCGCCCGGGGGCTTCGGCAACCTCGCGATTGGCCCAGGGGCCCGCGGGCCCCAGGGAATCGAGGACCGAGTTCGCGACTCCGGAAGCATCGGGCGCGGCGCCAGCCAATCGCTCGTCTCTGGCTGACAGTGGGACGCCTGGAGATCCGGTAAAACCTGAGGAACCGCTTTTCAGAGATTCACAAAACCAGAAAACGGGGCGCGCCAAATTCTCGCGTCCAAACTTCTCTGAGAATCTCTGGAAATCTCTGAACTCGACACCCCGCGTGAAACATTCCCATAAACCCAAAACCTCGGAGCTGGCCGAAATTCTCTGAGAGTTTTTCGGCCCGCGAAATTTGGCGCGCCCGGAATTCCCGTTCCGAGATTCTCTGAAATCGGCCTGCGGCGGCGCCCAGCAGGTCTTCACGCGCCGAGGGTGGGGGCCGTGGACATCGCAGGCCGCGATGGTCCCGACCACGAGGTCCTTCCTCCTGCCCCTCCACAAGTCCACGCCCATGGACACGCTCTCTGCGCTGAGCGTGGACCGCGCCATCCGCAGGTACTTCTGCGCGACGACAGCCAACTGGCCGCCGACGGACAAGGCGATTCTTTTTCCGAGCTGCGCGTGCCACCGAAAACGTACAGTAGCCCCGGGCTCGGGGAGAAACACTTTCGAAGCAGTTTCAGGCCGCCAGCGTCGTGGCTGCCGACCCGCCGCGCGCCGACCGCGAGACTAGCTGGGCCCACTACGTCCACGGCGGCGGGCGGGCGCCCAAGAGAGCTGTCGCGACGGTGCGCGCGGCGGGGCGCCCGCCCCACTGCAACCGCACATGCGGCCTCCATGGCGCCACAGGCGTAATATGTGTGACGCACCCTCGGGCCCCCCATCAGAGCATCGGCCTGCGCCCAAGCCCCTGAAACGCAAACCTACTGCGCCCCCCGTGCAAGCCGCGCACCCGCTCCCAATGCTCGTGTACACCAGCTTTTCTGCCCGCCCTCAACAGTTTAATTGAGCGCCCACGCGTTACTTGGGCTCCTCAAGCCCTCGAAAAGTCCTTGGGGAACTTCTGCGAATGCGCGCGCTGCGCTCCACAATTCGGCGTTCTATTTTTCTTTGGAACTCTCCCAGAATCTCTGGTTCCGATTTGTCCCGAACCACTTGGCGTCGCACGCCTTCCTCGTCCTCCTCCCCTCCCTCCGGCTTCTTCTCCCCCCTCATCGTCTCCCTTCCACTTGGGGGTCTACCTTTCCACCAGAATTGCATAATTCTCCCAAGGAACGAAGCCCCTTTTTGGCACCACAAGGAGCCTGGGTGCACGAGGATGGCTAGAAGAACAACCACGGAATGACCAACGGCCCTCATGTCCGCGTCTAGGCTGTACAGTAGGGGCCCGACCACAAGAAACTTTCCACAAGAAGCCCAACCCTGAGACCCCAGGACGTCCGTTGATTTCCGGCGTGGGAGCGTCACGCGTTCCATCGCAGAACCATCGAGACCCAAGAAACCCAGTGCACCCTGGAGGCAAGCAGGGTGCTTCTTGGCACGGGTCTCCACTTCACCTCCGCCTTCTCTCCCTCCCGCTCCCTCTCGCGCTTGCGCCTCCTCTGCCTCCGCTCGCCCCACGGCTTCCTCCGCCTCGGCTGCGCCGGAGGCCGCAGAGAGGCTCCCCGATCGGGAGTCGGCTCCTGCTGTGTACACGGCCGATGGCACCTGTCCGTCGGGGCAGCCGAGCTCTGCGGTGGGGGGGGGGCCCAAGCACTCTGCGCAGGCCGCGTGGCTGTGGCCTCACTGGAGCACATGCTGTGCCATGCCGCTGCTCCCCCCTCCTCCTCCTCCTCCTCCTCCTCCTCCTCCTCCTCCTCCTCCTCCTCCTCCTCCTCCTCCTCCTCCTCCTCCTCCTCCTCCTCCTCCTCCGCCCGCGAGCCTCGAGGTCCCACAGGATGATGGTCCGGTCAATCGACGCGCTCATAGCCTGGAACCTGCGGTGTGCAGCGCGGCAGGAGCTCCGGAACTCGCCCCTCACGATGGGAGGAACGCAACGTGGTGAGGGCGCAGTGCTGCCCCTGGAGACTGGAATTGGGATTGTTGTAGGGCGGCGGGCGGCCCTTGAGAACGGCAAAGGACAGGCCGCAGAGGCAGGGACACGAGGGTAACCCCAGATGTGAAGGTGCGCGTCTTTACTCGGCGCGTTGACTGTATGTGCTCATGGAAGGAACTCGCCTTCGTTCGGACGCCCAGTCCTCGTGCATCTGTCGGTTTCGTGCGTATTTCTATGCAGGATAACCCCAAATTCTCCTCGATGTTTCTTACCGAGAAAAAATGCGCACGTCCGAGCGATGCCCAGGGAAAGGTGGTGCAGGAGGAAGCGCAGGGAGAGGAGGTTACACCCAGGCGGCAGTGGACCCCCCGCCGCTTCCCGACCTCGGGCAGTACTGAGAACAAACGGCAGGAGGGACCAGCTCGGGGAGAAGCGAAAACGAAAGCGCAAGCGAAAGCGCGCTGTGTCCAGCCGGAAGCCGACCCGATTCCGAATACCATCTGCCCACCAGCCGGGCCTCAGGCAGCCGCTTGGGACGATCTGGGACCCGCGAAACGCTATCGGCGAGGCGCAGGTGCTGAAGAGCGTCCCCAAAGCTTGACAACCGCCGAGAACCTACGGGAGTCGCCCGGCGTTGCCCCCGATTCCTGCCAAGTCCTAAGCGGGAGTCGAGGACGCACTGACCCGGGTCAATCCAAACCCGGGTCAGTCGGGCTTCGCAAGATCCTGCAAAATCCTGAAGGTTCCTGCACGCAAGCCGGGTTCAGTGTACCCATGGCTCTGCAGGCTGCAAGATCCGGCGCCCTGGGCTGAAGGGGTCCTGGGGCACAAAAGTAAATAGACACAAATGACCGGATTCCCCATATCTTCCTATATATTCTGGGTTTTTGACTTCCCTCCCACTTCCCATATTTTCCCATATTTTCTGGGGGTCGGCGATTAATTGTGTCTGTGTGTTTTTTCCCTCCTGATGGGCCCTGGCTGACCACCGTTTGCAGTGACCCCCGTCTCTTGAACCCCGATCGAAATGCACTCGGAAGGATCCGGGACTGCGACCCGGGAAGGATCTGGCGGCCACGACCGCCGCAGCCACCCGAGCGGCGAGTCGCGGAGAGGGGCCACCGCCCGGCGCCCTGCCCTGCTTGCGCCTCGTCGTGCCTACTTCTCGTCGTCGTCCTCCTCCTCGCCCTGCCTAATTACCTCGCCATCGCTTCGACCTCCATTCCCCGTGCTCTGTTCGGTGTCGCGCGCGGATGATTCGCAAGAGGATCCAGGCTGTTCCTCGATGGTCCTCGCCCCCCAAAGATGCTCACGTGCGAGCGATGCCAAGTTACCCTACCTGCTCCTCGTCGTCGCCCGCCGTGCTCTTCACCGTCCTAGCTCCTCCTCTTCTTTCTCCTCCTCCTTCTTCTCCTTCTCTTCCTCCCCCATCTGCTCCTTTTCCTATTTCTCCTCCTCCTCCTCCTCCTTCTCTTCCTCCTTCTCCTCGTCGCCGGCCTCCCCTTGCTCTCCCCATCCCTCCCCTCCTCCTTGCCCTGGTGACTGTGTGACTCGTCAACTGCCAACCTCCTCCCCAGCACCCGCGCGCAGCGCAGCAGTCCAGCGCGGCACGCTCGAGCCCGCACGCGTGAGCCCGCAAGGGGTCTGCAATGACACCTTCCCGCGGTGTGCGCCAGTGTTAACCAGCCTCGAACGTATCCCTATCCCTAAGATTGACGCGCCAAAAGGCGATGACAATCTTAGGGATCCGCCCTCAAAAACTAAGGGGATCCCTAAGATTGGCATCGTGACGAGGAGGTGCCCGGCATAGGGATAGGGATATGTTCCAGGCTGGTAGAGTGTAGAAGAGGCTAACTGTCCGACATACTTGCAGGGTGGAGGGCTCAGGGGGAAATCCATATGGGCTCTTGCACCTCGAACACCAAATCCGTCCTGTGATTCACCTCGAGCAGATCTAGGCCTCGAGCATCTGTCGAAACGGCCTTTCAGATTTCACCCCTTGCCCTCCACCCAAAGAAAGTACTCGGAGCTGGGTCTGTGAGGGAGACAGGGGACCAACCTTCAACACAGCTTAACGCCAGGTCTGACTGGCAGAGCGTCTGCGCTAGAAGACGTGCCGTCGAGCCCGCGAGCCGCACGCCGTTGTAAGAGTTGATGTGCACGAATGTGCTGCCATCAGCTCGGAGGCAAATGATGATACTGCAATTCCACGGCACGTTGCCGCCATTGCAACTACTAGGGTAGGCCTTTCCTCCTCGTTCCTCCTTTCTTCTGCTCTCTCCTTCTCCTCCTCCTCCTGCTACTCCTCCTCATGCTCCCGCTCCTCCTCCTCCTGCTCCCTGCACGACTAGTGCAGCTGACTTAGACACGCACCAAAGGTTTCGTTCATTCCTCCTGCTCCCACAACTCCCTCCTCCTCCTCCTCCTCCTCCTCTTCGTCCTCCTCCTCTTCGTCCTCGTCGTCGTCCTCTTCCTGCTCCTCCTCCTACTCCTCCTCTCCCCGCTCCCCATTTCTCCTCCTCGTCCTCCTGCCCCTTGCTTCGGGATTCCACCGACCCAGGTAAATCCAGACCCGGGTCAATAAGGCGTTGCAAAATCCTGCAAAATCCTGCAACATCCGGCAAGATCATGCGCCATAACCCGGGTCAATGCACTCCTGGCTCTGCAGCATTCTGCAAGACTCGGCGCTCCGACGGACCCCCGATTGCATCAACCCCCGTCTCTTGAGCCCCTCCTCCCCCCCTGCATCCTCAGGCAGTCGTCCACATGGCGGGCCCCATTTTGCATTGCGCGCACCGAGCGGGAGGCCTGCTCGCAAGCGGATTTCGGGTGCCGCCGGCTGCGCTGGTCAGCCCAGCCCCGCCCCCCCCCCCTACGGCGACGACGCCGGCGAGCAACGACGACGAGCGAGGACGCTGAAGACAACGACGACGGCGACGACCCTCCCCTGGGGCACGTGTCCCAGTCGACCGAGACGGCGGTGACCTGCCTGGAGTGGTGGATCATGTCCCTGCGGGCCGAGGGGCCGGCGGGCGGCTCTTCGAAACCAGGCCCTCTGCGGGCCCCGCCTCCTGCGGGGTGCTGGTGCTGCTGCGCTCCTCCTCCTCGCCCCCTCCCCTCTGACCGACGGAGGACAAACAAAGTTCGTTGCAGGCCGCGCGTGAGCGCCCCGGTGTCCATTGCAGCGTGCCGCGCCGGCGGCCCGCGCAGGCCGCGGCGCTCGGTCGCTATACTAATCTCGCGTGAGAATGTTGCTGTTGTTGTTGTTGTTGTTGTTGTCGTTGTTGTGGTTGTTGTGGTTGTTGTTGTTGTTGTTGCTGGTGCTGTTGTTGATGTCGATTGCTGATGCTGTTGATATTGCTGTTGCTGTTGAGCGCTCGCGTCTGAAAAAAATTACAGTTGCTCCCCACACCGAGGCACTTTGTAGTTTTCAACCGAAGTGTCCCTCCCGTGGTGCGTACCCGGTTTTTTGTTCCGGAACATGCTTGGGTCTCAGAATTAAGCCCCTGGCCCTTGCCGTCGCTCGGACGTCCATTTCCTGTGCATTGTTCGGTTTCTTGCGCGTTCTGTTGCTCGATGGTCCAGGATGGTCCTCGATGGTTCTCGCCGAAATGAAATGCACACGTCCGAGCGATGCCAAGGGCCCCCAAAACAACAACAACAACGGTTCCCGCCTGACACTTCCGCACACATGTACTCCCAAATCGCGTTCTCGCGCGGGGCAGTGCCACAACTTCTGCAAAACTGGCGCCTTCGCGTGGGACCTCATCGCGTTTAATTCAGACGCCGCGCCTTCGACACTCAGGAATCACGCTCTCGCTTTGGCCTATCTCACGAGTTACTTGGAAATCGCATTGCCGCTCGAGACTCGCGATGCATGCAGGACGCACGCTTCAGCAACACGCCGTCTCGACCTGGCCTCTCTCTTTCGTGCTCCATTCGCCTCCCTCCCCGTTGCCCCTTCCTTCCATCCATCCTCTCTTCCCCCGGCCGTAGGGGCTGCATGAAATACGCGTTGCTGGTACGAAGCGTATACGCCAAAAAGGGTACGATCGAAAACGAGCAGGGCGGGTATCGATACTTAGGGATACTTGATTATACGTGTTGTGCTGACAATCGCGCAGATAAGAACCAACACTTGCAAAATGTTTGTTGTTTTTGTTGTTGTGTTCGTTGTTGGGGTAATTGTTGTCGTTGGTGTTGTTGCTGTTGTTGTTGTTGTTGATGTTGTTGTTGTTGTTGTTGATGCTGCCCCCCCCCGGAATGAACACAAACAAAAGATTTACGCGAAACGACATGGCGACCTCACACGAGCAGCTTACCCGGGCCGCCGGCGCGGCACGTTGCATTGGAATCGGGGGCGCTTAAGCGTGACCTTACGCGGGTAGTTTACGCGCCGATGCCGGGGACAACGAACCCTGGTTTCGTCGCTCCATGAGGGGGGACAAGGAGGACTGGATTGGAGCGGGATTCCTGGAAGCCTGTGTTTCAACAGCTGACGCTGGCCGCGCAACTGATCTTATCACCTGCCATACACCTGCGTGCCCACAAGGCCTGTGAGGTGAGGCCCACGCGACTTCCACCACTGCGACATATGGAAAGCCGCCGTACTAGGTGCACGAAGGGCGGTAGAAGGGAGAGGCGGAAGAGGGGGCGGTACAGGGACAGCGAGAATGAAAAAAACCTGACTGAGGGCGCCGCGAGGGTGTTATCTCCCAGGGCCCGGCGGCGCCCCGTGCCGCGTCTACCCCTCCACATCTTCCCCTTCATCGTCCTCCTCTTTGATACCAGCCCAAGGGTACCTGAATAAACAGAGGTAGAAAGATTACCATTGAATTGGTGGCTGCAACCCACACACACACCTTGCACTGCGGAGGGAGGGGTCCGCACATGGGGCCACAGTACTCGCCTCAGCAATGAGAAATGCATTGGACCATAAAAGGGTTGGACGCCATCAGCGGGCAAGGGGGAGCAAAACAGACAAGAAGGAAACGGGAAAAGACAGAGACGGGATGGGTGTAGGAGGCGAACGACATGGGAAGGTAGTGATGGAAGGGGGGCGGGACGGGACGGGACTCGACTCACTTTTGGCGCCATCCATCCAAATGTCTCGAAATGGGATGTTTTATCCGAGAAATGCCCGTAGCAGCGTTTGCGGGCCAACGTGGCCCCACCGCCCAGGCACCTCACCAGGGCGCAGGCCCCTGGCCACGCCGGCTGGGGCGCACGTGGCCAGCACAGCTCGCATCAGCGTGCGCGGCACATCTAAGAGAACCATCGACCGCCGATGATGATACCCCCTCGGGCCTCTCTTGGGGTGCGTCCAAACCAACATGTGCCCCCCCCCCGGGAGGCCAAACAAACAGAAGCGAGAGAAAAATAGCGGTATCGGCACGTCCCACTTAATGTGTTCCTGATGTTTTGGCTGTGGCACAAGGGTCATAAAGGAAAACGGAAAGGAAAACAGCAACATGAACAACCTATCGGCCACATGCCCGATTTCTTCCTGCCCCCGTAGGCAAGCTGCAGGGCGCACTTGAACAAGGACAGACCGTCCTGGCATTCTCATAGGTGTACCCCCGGCCGGATAACAACACGATGGATTTAGAACATCTGCCCGATGTGCTAAAACAAAACAGCCTCAACCATACTTGTTCTAATACTTAATTCGTGCAAGCCACAGGAAGATCTTAGAACATTCTTTGGTGGGCCTATAGGGGAGCCAAAATGCTTCGCCACTGCTTGGCGCACGCAACTGCAGGGTCAGTTGGCACGGCCGCGGCCGTGCTGCGCTAGGGGCCAGTCCGCATGAGCAGCACGGACTGCTGCTCGGCGGCGAGCCAACGGCTCCGCGAGCACAGGGCGGGCCTTCCCTCGGTTCCGCGCAAGAGTGACGCTAGGCAAGGGGCCCTCTGGGGGCACCGCCGAACGCGCACGCCGCTGCTATCGTATCCCATTCAGCGATCGGGGGGCCCTCCGGGCCCGTACCAAAGGTCATTCCAGCGAAAGGTCGTTCTTGCGCGTAGTCAATCCTCAGAAAGTTCCAGCAGAAGGCCCGACGGCCGATTCGACTCCACACCCAAAAACAGCCACGACATAACAAAAGCGTAGGGAAACCACATAGGGTACCGCTACCCGATACTGCTGCTCCCCGCACCTTTCCCGGGGCGCGTCCTGGCCAACATCTCAGAGCGAACCCAGCGGTGGCGACAAGGGCCGTGCAGACGGCTAAGACAAACGAAGACGAGGCAAGGGTAGCGAAACGGGAGCATTTTCCTCCCTCTGAGAACAAGTAGAAGCAAGACGAGGTCGACTGCCTATCTCTTTTGTTCTTAGGCATGCTGTTGGGCGCAACTCCGCCCGTAGCGTCAGTGAGCCTGCGCGCAGCAGCGCGCGTCAGAGACGCAAGCGGGCTCCTCCTGGGGCACGGCGGCGACCGGCGAACAGGAGGACGGAGAGAGGGATGTGATGGCAGACAAGAGAAGCCCACCGACCCCCATTCACATTCACCGCTCCACCTAGGGGAACACACAATGGCACAAACATAGAAATTGGGAGGTCCGCGTTTGGAACGGCTTTCACACAAACTGGAAGTCGTGACAGATTTTTCAGATCGGCGCTGGAATCAACTGGCGGAGCCGCCCCTGGGGCGCTCCGCGCGCCAGGGATGGTTGTCCAGCGCCGATCCGAGAAATCAGCGCATACCTACGTCCTGATTATATCATTGCTTCTTCCCCGAATTCACTTCCGCCTCACCACCAGCCAAATAACACGACTGTCTATCCTCTTTCTCCTCCTCCCCCTCCTCCCCCTCCTCCACCCGGGCGTCCGACGTCGTTGGATCGCGCCGTGAGGAGATCACATCGGGCCCAACACACAGTCGACTTTGCTTGTAGAGGGCACGCGGAAGGACACAAACACAAGACCCGCCCGAGGGCCACCTTGCCAGAAAGGTGTAGAACGCATGGGTCGCGAAGCGCAGGACACAATAGTACTCTTGATTTGAAAGGGTCGACCCACTAACCAACCTGAACTGTACACATGTCCCTATTTAGAGCTTCTAGCAACACAAATTCGTGACACATCTAGCGAGAGCCCCATGTTGAAATGGAACCACCTCCATCCTTGTCAACGGCTCATACGTTTCGCCTCATGATCGTCAACGTTGTCGTAGTCCCAGGCGAGCGGCTCATGTCCCAAAACGTGTTCATGCTTAGGCTGCTTTCCCTGTACCAGAAGCGGTCTAAACATAAACTGTTGGCGCACCGCGCGGATCTCTTGGATCCGCACTGGGTCCCCCCCCCCCACGGCGGCGCCTCGTGGGCACCAAAAGCGCCGGATGGGTCTCCGCTGGGGTCTTCGGCTCGTAGGCTTATGCTGCTCCCATCGTACTTAAGGACCACATCCCAGAACCCGGAAAAGTGTCGAAAAAGTGTCGAAACAGTGTCGAACGAGTGTCTCCCAGGGCCCGACACGTGAAAACCCTCCAGTCTCGGTACTTTCTTGGTGCTCGAACTGCTTTCTGGTGATCAAGGCTAAAAGTAAGCTGGAACATCGTAACCGCAGGCGCCCGCCGGCGCCTCGCTTCGTGGGCGCCCCTTGCGCTGGCTGGGGCAGCTGGCAATTCGTTCCTTCGGCCAGGGGGGCGCCCGCGGGCGTCACATGGGCGCCTCGTGTGGCGGAGCGCGTGCCGGGGCGCACCCGCCGCTGGCCAGAGATAGGCTGCACACTGTACCACCCTGCCACGCAGAATTGGATCCGCCCCATCTCGACCGACATCTACTGCACGGCATAGGCTGCATCCCCATGTGCACCACATGGATTGCTTCTCCAAGTTCGCAGATCATGAAAACTACACCGCGTATACTGCGCTCCATGGGTATCACCGCGAGGACTGACCGTGGCTTGCACCACGTAGCATGCGCGACGGTGGCAACAGCATCGGTGGCAACTTGGATTATACAACATACGTGGCACCACCATCGCCCCAACGATTGCGCATACGGGTGA